AAAGAAGGGGAAAAAAGGAAGAAATAAAAGAGAAAACTAAAGTGTACAAAGGAAAAAAAGAAAAAAAAGGTTATTGTATGCATGAAGATGGAAAGATTTGGATACACCTACAATGGAGGAATGGTTGATAAAGATGATGGAACTTGCTGAAATGGCCAAAATGACCTGTTTGGTGAGAGAAAAGACAATATCTATGTTTACTGCTGACTGGAAACTCCTTATGGACTTTTTGCATAAAACAGGAAAAAAAATGAACTTATGATCTATGGTTTTGATGATTAGATAGGATAGATTATAGAAAGAAAAGAGGCATGATGTATGTTTAAAGGAAGAGGTAAATCTACAATTGTCTTTATGTTTGCTGTAAAGAAAATTGGAAACCACTTCTTTGTATCTTTTTTTTTCTTTTCTATTTTTCTAAGACTTACAACTTTGCAATTGTTTCTGTTCTTATCAAAAGACAAACAGTGAAGCCTGAGAACATTTTAACTCCCAAATCTAGTAACAATCCAGCTGCTTAAGTATTACCTCCAATTCTCAAGACTCCTGCCCTGAACTGTAAGTTGCTGGAGTAGCAGCAGCTAAATTCTGTGTAAATCCTGACTCAGTGTTATAATTTCAACAAAAAAACTGCATTTTGCTTTATATAATCTTTTGCCCCAAATATGCACATTTGCTAATTTAGCACTAATGCCCATGAACAATCTATCACTGAACCAGTGTCCCAATTTCTCTAAAGTGATACTCTCACATCCACTGAGGGTATTTCATATGGCTGATAATAATCTAGATGTCATTCCCAATGGCCCACTGGCAGAAATTTCAGTAATCCCATTTATCGTAACCTAACCTAATGCAATTTCAAGTAGAACAAACAAGCGGTCATAATGAGTAAGGGACACCAGCTGGTTGTCAGAATAAGACTGGACTTTCTCTAGGCTCTCCTGGGATCTCCAGCATCTCTTCCTCCAATCAATTTGGGAGGTTTCAGGAGGGTTTTCAAACTTTGCCTTGCCATGTTATCCAGACCCCCCAAAATGCAGTTAATCTTAACAGTGATTCAGACTGTGATAAAACCATATTTATGAAGTGGCTTATTTTTATTACCCATAGCTAAGATTTACTACATTCCAGGGCTTGAATGGCCAGACGATATGCTGAATTGTCAGGTTGACAGAGGGGAAGGAGACAGGGAGAAGCTAGGCTCCTTTACACAAAGTTTAATCATAGTGTAGCATTACATCAGCAGCATCTGCAGGGGGTAAAAAAAAGTCAACACAGTAGCCACAAACACACAAATTGAAGTCCCGCCCTTTTTTATGTGCATTGCACATAACACACATAAAAGTAGTGGGGCTTTGATTGCCGGGTCATGACCCGCTTGGCTTTTTTTAATCCCCCCACTCCCATCTCCATGGAGACCCCTGCATTATATCCTAGCAAAGGCTATGAGTATTAATAGGACACAGCCATGTAATAAAATCCAGTTATTTCAACTTCCTCAAACAAATGAATGGATACGCATAGAGGAAGAGAAGATCTAATCCCACCTCTATCCCTTCACCTCCGTTACGAAATCCTTCCTGCATCAGATGAAGATTGGGTTCACAAACTGGGCTAAGCTGCCATGTATATCAACCAGGAATGCTAAGCCAGAAGCCATGGTTTAAACATCATGCTAAACTAAAACCAAGCCTCTTTATGGCTTGGCATGAAGTGTGAACCAAGCCATGGTAATCTGGTACAAACTTCATGTTGAAGCACAACTTGAAGCCATTTATTTGAAACAAAAACATTGTTTTGTTCCATAATATAAATTCATAGGCGCCAAGGTTTCTTCTTGGGTTGAAATAATCTGATATCTCAGAAGAAACTTCCCAAAGGCCTAGAAGGACAGCTACCCAGCACATCAATTTTCACACCAGTCAAAACACACTTCACCCCCACAGCATACAAATATGAAGTTTTAGAAATTACTAAGTTTCCTCCAACTTAACTTCCCTCAGGATCGCTAACAGAAATGGTTACCTCTTTTTAATGAGGTCCAGAGCAGTACCTATAAATTCATCCTTCATTTTCTGAAGCTTAGCTCCATAACTGGAGATATCAGTTGCTTCTAACAGCAGCGGGCAGCAAGATGACTGAGTTTCAGGCACCAGAGACTGTCCAGCATGGTGAAGCGCTTCACTGAACTTTCTTGCATCCAATCCCTGTTTCTCTTCTTCAGCAAAAGCTTTCTTGCCCTCCTCCCTAAATACTGCAGCAGGTTGCAGAGGCAATCTTGGAATTGGGCTAGAACAAATGGGAACTGGCACTGTTTCTGATGTTGGAACTTCGGAAATCTTGTCCCTGGCCACAGGCGTATTTATTAGGCAGACACTTCTGTCCCATGTGGATGAATTTTCTTCACAGCCAATAAACCTGGAAGCATTCTGGCTGTTTTCATGAAACACCTCATCATCATCATCTATTACTGAAACCACTTCTTTAATATGATCCTGATGGTCAGCTGAACCAAGGTTTTGACTTTTTTCCCCCAACTTTGGGATTGCTTCCTTTGTACTTTTCACTGTTTCACTACTGCCATTGAGAAAAAGAGTTGCCTTGCTTCTCATCCTCTTGAACTCTTCAAAAGTTGGAATGTAGAGTCTCTCTTTGCAGTCACCTTTTTTGCTCTGTTCTGGAGTCCTTTTGCTATCTCCTCTTTCTCCATCTCCTTTTAATGATCCCATAGTTTGGGATTTGACCACTTTTTGACTCTCACTGGCACAATGGAGGGTCAAGCTGGGGGAACTGTTCTGCCTCCTGATCTGCAACCTTCTCTGGGCTTCTTGCTTGATGTCTTCTGGGCTTGTTAGCCTGCTATAGAAACAAGGCCGTTGCCTCCCCAATGCCACCCACGGGGCATGAGCGAGAGTGGCATGCTGCACAAATATGGTGCAACAGTTAGGGGAGCAACCATTCTTATATTGCTGGCAAGCCTGACATTCAGAACATTCCCTTGCAACCGAATCGTTCAAAGAAGTCTGAGCTCTGAGTGGCTTGCAAATCTCAGTAGCTTTACTACTGTGAATTCTAAGTTTTTCTTTCAGGATTTTTTTGGCATCCCCACTGATGGAGGAAAGAAGCCATGGAGGCACTTTGGCACAAGAGGAAAGAGCTATATCTTGTGTTGAAGGAATCCCTTGCTCTGATGGAAGGGAGAAGTGTCGGCAACGTTCAGGTGAATTGGGAGTTAGGGAACCTTCCATGGAATACCTGGAGCAATGTGCTGTATCTTTGTAATGAAAGACATGTTTATTTTCTACATTTCCACAGTGAGGATGGCAGCATGGATCAGCTACTGTGGCCCAGTGTAGATTCTCCATGCTCTGATACAGATGTGTTCCTGCATTATTGCCTCCTTTGTTTACAGGATTAAAGTCTCCAGTAAAAAGATGAGTATCCATGTTCTTTAAGGGATGCATGTTGCTAATTGAGAACTCCTTTAAGCCATGTTGCGCATATAGCTGATTATTCTGGCAGCTCAAAATTACCCGTGAGTGTTCCTGCCTCTCATCAACGCTGATGTATGTCATAGCAAATCGGCACGGGTGACTGGACAGACGGATGATTTTAGAAGGAAGAGGGCAAAAGGATGAATGAGTTGTCAGACACCTTGGATGACGTTCAGAAGTCCTGGTCGCAGACAGCAGAGGGCTGCTATCTGGGTACTCACATTAAAGAGCAGAGACTTCTCCAGAGTCATGACTACGAGTCCTCAAGCAGAAGAGAAACCTGATCAAACAAACAAGAAAAAAAGGAAGTTACAGAAAAGAGTTGATATTCAGGGATGAAGAACGCAGTCATTAAATATGCAGCCAGTGATCACAGGGTCAGACTTCACCCACAAGGCAAAGAATGGAACCAATTAAGCAAGCTCACAAGAATTCAAGAACTCCTGATAAGTCATTCTTTACTGAAGAAATATTAGAGACCTTAACAAAAGAATTCCAGGGACTGTTGAGTTTCAAGAGCAAGCACCCTTTTTACAAAAACAGTACTGTACTCAAATCCTTTTGCACCTCTTCTTCTCATCTGCCCTATGTAATGCTTGGTCCCCCTTTTATTGGAGATAGGGCCCCATTTCCACCTGTCTCTTATTTGGGCAATGGTCAGATTTGCTATCATGTTGTTTTTCAGTGATTATTCAAGAACTCTCATACAAAGAACGTTGCCCACCTTCTGCTTTGCAACTGTACTTCTAATACTAATATAAGTCTTAATAGACAGTGGAACAAATGATCAATGAAACATCAATGAAAAGCATTTTAAATTAGCAGCTATCCATTATAGTCTAAAAATTGTCGTCTGCTCTAGTACGATTATTCTTAGTAGGTACAAAGTTATGCATGTATGATGGTGTTGATGATGACTATAAATGTTCTTTATTACTTTAAGTATTGTTCATGACCAAATGATCAAATTATTTAATGTTAATAAAAGCCAAATAAGAATAATACATAAATGGGATATTAAAACAATATGACTGAACTGTCTATAGCAGTGCAAATATATCAGGAAACCCATGTTTCATACATCTTCAAAGGAAGAGAGTTCTTCGGTGAAGGTACAACCATTAGAAGCCCAACTTTGGGAAGGTTTGCCTTGATATCATTTCTTTTTCTTTCTCTCATATAAGGGAATGGTCACTATTTATTCCTGTAAAAAAAATATATCAAAGGACTTTGGAACAGTATGCTGTTTGAATCAAATCTGCCTTCCTATAACTAATACTGGGTAGCATAACCATAAGCAGAAGAGTCTGAATAGGAAGCAATGGTCTTTTGGAAGGAAATCTGGAATGGCAAGGGAAGAGGGTAGTAGATTTCTGATGCTTCCCTCCCAAGCAAAGCTAGGAAATGCAACTAAAGGGAGACAGAAGGAAAAATCAGAAGGCAGGAAGATGCATCCATTGCTCCTCTCTTGAGAGGAACCAAATTTGGAAAGACAGGCCCCTTCCTCAACAAGGGTAAGGAGTGGGGCAGATGGCCACAGGTGATGAATAGAGTGGAACTGTCCCTCAAAGCCACATCTTACTAGCCCATTTGATAAGCTGTAGCTAGTGCTGATTCAGATCAATGAGGCACTATGTTCATGCCCAGAGTTACCCCACCAGTGACTGCTAACGTGCATTGAAAAAACAGAGACAAGCTCCCTTTTCTGGCAATTGTAGCAATACTTTGTATGTGTCCACAATGTCAGTAACATTAATCCATTCATACTAGATCAGTAGTAGTGAACCTATGGCCTATCAGATGTTTTCCAACCATAGTTTCTAGCAGACCAAGGCAGGATGGCCAATTGTAGTTCTTATAATGAATTTTGGTTATAATAGTAAAATCTAATACAAACTAAAGAAAGAAAAAAGAATAGAAAAAAGTAAAAGTGCAAGAAAAAAGAAAGGAAAAGAAAAAGTAAGAATAAACAAAGAGAAAAGAAATATATAAAGAAGAACCTTCATCATAAAAAGTATAAATAAATTTAGTGACTCTTCATCCCTTCTAAGGTTAAAAACATTTATCTCTTCATTCCATATCTATAAATAAATCTGTAAAACATAGCATGGTCAATTGTAGTTCAAGAACATCTTGAGAGATTCAAGTTCCTCACTACTACCCTAGATTGTGGTACAAGTTTCTTAAGCGTCCTACTAAAAAACAGACACCAAACCTATTTATTACATTCAACCTTAATGTTATCACTAGTAGAATCACTGCATTACACTAGGTTTGTTTAGTTTACATATTATGTACAAGAATATCTATTCCTCTGCATAAAAGCATTCTTCAGGAAACTAAGAATCATTGTCACTTGAGACTGACTACAGTCACTCTTCAGAGTTAACAGGAAAAGCACTGCTGACCGTATCTCTGTAAATAATGTGCTCATGCTTTTTCAAGATGTTTCTGTAATCAGTCCACCACCTCACTTAGTCGTCATCCCATCTGGAATGGCTTCTTTTCAGACACTTGATTTTGTTTATGCTTTAATTATTTCTCCTCTTCTGTTCTATTCAGAGAAGATCACAGGTAATGGCAAATAAAGGTTACAACATGTTCTGCCATGAAAGAGTGAATAAAGACAGCATGAGAGCACATTTAGCAGGGAATCGTGATGATTCATCTCAGAACAGCAACATCCCAGAAATAATGCAAAGAGAAGGAAAAGGAAAAACAAGTATTCAAGGAAAACAATTTTAGAGACGTTAACATGGAAGATCATGTTCAACAGGATTTACTCCAAAAAAGTGTCTGTTGGATTATAGCTAATGGAACAACCTCAGATTCTTCTCCAACAACCTGAACCATAGTTCTTGTCTCCCTAAGTACATACAATGGGGTTACACAATTTTAAAGATATGCATTTGTACTTACTCATATCCAAGTTCATTTCTGATAATAAATAAAACATGATTTTGGGAAAAGAGAGTAATAGCACTAGTGTTGTCACATGTATTTGCCAATAGATACTGTCCACAGTTGCATTCAGCACTAAAAGGAAGAATGGGCTTTTCTGAAATCAACATAAAACCTTCTAGAAAATCTGTATATTCCCCTTTCCAATCAGCACCCCCAAAATGTATAACCATTTTAAAAGCAGTGAACATATTGCATTCCTTGGCTAATTTTCAAACAATAACTGAGTTCACATACAACAATAAACCTGGAATAATGAACAGTAATAATATGAATGAGCAAAGAGTGAATTATAGATAGTCCTTGTTTAGTGACTGCCTCGGACAGAGACCATTTGCAGTTATGATTGTGATAAAAAAGTAACTTTCCAACCAGTCCTTGCATTTACAACCTTCACAGGTCTGTAAGGCAAAGGACAGAAGTAAGATCATAAGCAGTCACAGTTTCACTTAGCGACCACTTCTCTTAACAATACAATACAATACAATACAAATAT